CCAGAGGGCCAACCCCCGACATGGAATCAGCTAGGGAGACCAGATGAGTAAAACAGGGGGAGGGCTGCCTCTTCTGTGGCATCCAAGGGTTGGGCCTGACGACTTCTCATTGCACTTCTGGAAACTACCATCCGCCTCTACTGAGCTTAGCCATAGGAAAGAGCCATAGGATATCTCCATGGTGTCTCTTACATGGATGTCATTGAAAACATGGTATAACCATCATGCAAGACTCTCTTTATGAGGATTCTCAGGAGAAATTTCATTCTGGCCTTAAGACCAGACATACATCCATCTCTTGAACAATTATACCACCTCATGATATTTGCGTGCATTCTTGCAAACAGTCTTCAGAACCCAGACATATATTCTGGATGAATCCTTCATCTGTAGTTCTATTGGGGCTGCCCTGGGGGGATCTGCCTGCCCAGACCCTCAAGTCCCAGAGAATACCTTCCAGGAACCATCATCCCAGACCCAGAGCTTCAAGAAGCCTGACCTCAGCCCAAAAGCAAATCTCTATGGACATACCATTCTTTTTTAATAACAAATAATTCATATGACAAATATGGATAGAGTACCTACCGTGTGTCAGAGGATACAGCCATGAACACGACAGGCACAATTCCTTCTTCTCATAGAGTATGCAACCTAATAGGATTTACCTCACTAGATCCATTTGAGTTTGTAGATATGCCAATGAAATTAACAGGCAGCTAAGGTGGAAACCTCAGAAAAAGACCAGAAGACCAAATTAACAGCAACAGCAAAAGGATGATCTGAGTTAGAGTGAATGAGAAGAACACTTAGAGAGGGTGAAAGAACTATATTTCTGTCAGCTGTGTAATCTTGGGCAAGTGACTTAACCCCTGAGTTCCCACATCTAAAAAATGATGATACCACAAAGGCTTATAGTGAGAAATAAATGAGATAAAGCACTTAACACATATTGATAAAGCTCCTTGCACATGCTCAATAAACACTGGCTGCAACTTCTTTCACTACTATCCAAAGAGTGCTGAGAGGAGAAGGGCTCGTGGGATGGGCATTGTGGCCACATGACCTGTTTCAGTGGGATTGGTGTTAGAAATGGAAATGTGGGGACAATGGAAGGGTCATGCCCATGGTGTCACCTTAAGTCCTATTATTTCCAACAGAAACTATTTTTTCTCTTACACTTCAAAATATTTCTAATCACAATCCTCATACCCTCTCTCTTTTCAGATACGGTAACTCCCATTGTCCCTTCCATTTTACTGATGAGAGTGGTTTCCATTTTACTGATCTTGGCCAATGTTAGAAAGTTAGCACAGAAAGTCCAGACCTTCTAACTCGTATCCCATGTTTGTGCATTTTCTGTTCTGAGGGAAAGTGGAAATCAATTTGGTTTTCTTCTTTGTTCCTTTTTGGCTGTAGCAAGCAGTGTCACATGCCACAGACAAAGGTCTAAACAACACACATTCTAATTTAGGAGTTCCTTACAATTGGCTTTATTGGGTTATTGCTTCTCTAAGTAAATCGTCAAATACATCGCTAAATGTTAATACCCAAGTAACTGTTGTTTGCAGCCCTTGACCTAGAATTCTGGGATGCAAAAAAGTTAGGGAAGTTCCAAAGATGTGGTTCCCTCTCTGGCTCGCATACCAGCCTCAGCCAATGGCTCACTTCTATTTCAAGGAGTTTATCTTCAGTGTACTGAAGCAATGAAAGTTGCATCTCAAAGCCACAAGATCCTAAAATCCCAGGATTTTGACAACCCAGTTTCCTCACCTTCTGTGCTTCATCCTACCCATCAGCCCCCACCCACACCCATTCTTCCACCCCTACCCACCCTTCATGGCCCTAAAGAACCTTCTCCAAGGCCAAGCAGAGAGTAGCTCTATAAACAAAGTGGTGAGAGGGAATACCCACATGGCCCACCCCTAGCACCAGTGCCCTAGGAGTTGACACACACTTAAAAGAAATGACCTTGCTGTACGAAAACCGAGAAAGGCTAGGAAATGATGGAGAAAGAGCACGCTACTAGTCATTTCTACTCATGCAAGGTGGGCAGGCCAGTGATATAAATAGAAGAGGGGCAACTCTCAAGCTCTCATGCCTTTATTCTCCATAGACCTTATAATGCAAATGAGCTACGTTGGGCTCAACATAATCCCAGTTTATTGACCCCCAGTTATTTTCATTGGTGGGCCCTTCTGACCCATTGCTGATGAAACTTGGGTGAAGAAAAACTCACTGGGCATAAACTGGTACATCCAGGATCTAGAGTTAGCTGTGACCATTGGCAACAGTTTTTGGACAGAGAAAACGTTTTTAGGAACCTACTCTATTATTGCTCTGCACCATAAATTCCAGAGACCACTCCTTACTTCTCTTATCTCCTCAACCTGCTCTCTTAAGAACCGTTGAGTGTTTATCAACTGTTCATCCTGGTACAGTGATAAGGAGGAATTCTCTTGTTTTTTACGATAAAGCTTCTGTGTTCTGTTTTCATGCTTAGGCAAGTAGCCACAAGCCTGGGAGATTTATCCATTTATTACTCATGCCAATTTGGGGAGCTTGCAACTTTGAATCAAACCAGAGATACTTGCTATTGTACAAACCTAGCAAGCCACTGTGGAAAACCCAGGAGAGAATATATATCCTTTGAACAAATTATTCAAGTTGACAACATCCCATCTCCCAGATCAATTGCCCATTGAATCATAATGCCTTATAGCCACATGACCCTTCAGGGAAAGCTTACAAAGCATGTTCTCATTTGTTATCTCCTGACCCTGCCCGCAGCCCTCTGCTGTGGGCTTGACTGGTGTTATCACAGAGCAGGCTCTGGACCATGAACCCAAAGGAGAGGGCTCCAGCTCCGGCCACTTCCTTGATTGATGTCCTTGGGCAATTTCACTTCAACTGTGATTCTCCGCCTTCTCTTCTGCACAAAGGAGCCAAAACACCCAGAGATGGATGGGACTAACAAAGCTTTAGTTTCAGGACCTACTGTTGCAGGATTTCTTTTCTTTTGGTGCCCGTGGTTCTTGGTCACACCGCTTTGAAGAATGAAGAGGTAGACCAGATGAATAGTGGTGCGCAGCAAAGCAAAGTTTATTGAATGATAGTACAAAGCTCCTGAAGAGGAAGGGGATCTGAGAGGGTTGCCACAGAGTTTCTAAGTCTGGGGGGGTGGGGGGAATGTTTATGAGCTTGTTGGCAGGCTCTTTTAATCTGATTTAACCCTCCATGCGCCTGTCATCCAATTAGGTTTTTGTCATCTACCTATCACATGGGAAAGGGTGGAGGGTCCTTCCCGGGTGGGTGTAAAATCCTTTCAGGGGTGGTTTCTTCTTAGGGCAGGGACCCCTTGTCCCTGCCTGTCTTTCTTCCAACTATCCTTCATTACTACCACCTGCACAGGCTGTGAATCTAATTTCGAAGTCATTTTGTGTCCTTTTTCTTGAAGAAGACTCCCTAAATTGTAATAAGCTTCAGGACTCACCAAACCTAGATCAGTCTCCCAATATAACCTGCTTAATCTAATACCAGGAAGCCAAAATATGATCGGTATTTCTTTGGCCTCAGCTCTGCCAAATGGCCCGTGATGATTACCATTCAGACCCATGTACTAGGTGGACTTCGTTGGTGCCCCTCCTGGATAGCTGTGAAGGGCTCACAGCTTGTGAGCCCTTTGTCCTGGAGATTACACCATCACCTCTATTCAGGGCAGTCGACCAATGTCTGCTTGATGTGGTCAAACGGCTACAGCCCTGTCTCAAGGTGAGACCAGCTCTGTGATATAATCCATACTCCTTTGGGATCAGATCGAAGCTAGACTGTAGCGGGGCTGACATCCTGGCTTAACTCCTTCCTCCGTCTCATTCTGCTTCCCTCATTCCCTTTCTCCTAGAGCCTTGCCCTACCAAGTTATACCTATCTGAATCCTCACCTGGGGCCCAGCTTCTAGGGTACCCAACCTAAGACATAAAGTGATAAGGACAGTATCATCTTTTCCCATGTCAAAGCCTGTCTGGTCCACTTTCAAACACAGCCAAAAAGCCACAAGCCCTTGAGACCCACTGCAGCCAGTGCTCAGGCTACTGCATGGATGTGTTTACTTATTTCATGACTAGCATCCCTGTCTGAGGCCCATCCTGGACCTCTAGCCAAGTCCAGAGAGCCAGAGTTCTAAGTACCTTTGGAACTTGGCAGTGGGAGGGTAAAGGCGGTGATGCTGAGCATTTGGTAAAACTCTAAACTGTGACCGCCCCACCTTTAGTGTTTTCTCTGAGCATTTGCTTTAGATGTTAGGAAGGAGACCAAACGATGTGAAAAAAATGATTGGTAGCACCATGTCTCTTTTGATCATTTTCTCGGCATTTTTTTACTGCAGGAGATTTATAACTAGCCCTTTGTCCCCACTGAACAGAAGAGGAATCCAGGCTCTCCAGTGTTACCTGTCATTTTAGAGAAAGACAGAGTTTAGGAGGAAAGAGATTTAGAGCCTCTTTCTGTCTCATCTATGACTTGTTTGTGACTTTAAATGAATTAATTGTCACCCGTTAGCACTCGTGTGTGTGGCATGGACATTTACTTCCACACCCCACAAACAGCAAAGACTCTTGGAGATCATCATAACAGCAAGACCACCATCCATAAAAGAGACATAATCTTTAAATCACCAAAACAGATACACGAGAAATTCCTCATGAGAGGGAATAAAATGTGAAGCAGGAAATATTTATTACCCAAGTGCTTGCTCCTCCAGGCCCTTAGCCCTAAAGGATCTAGAGATAACTAGTCTACCACTTCCTTACACAAGAGAGACAGGTATAGGCTTTGCAGACAAATTGTGAGGATCTAGGTCCAAATCCAGGAGCATCATTCAACAGAGAAAGGAGCAGGTGGGCCTGATGAGCTTAGGCAGGTACATTCCAGAAACAGATATCACAGGGTGGAAAAGCCCAGTTAGGGGACTATAGACCCAAGAAGCAAGAGCCCAGGGAACTCACCCAGCTAAGGCTCCCAGTGCCCAACGTGGAACTCATCAGAATCCTGGCTTTTCTGGTCCAGCAGCTTACTGTAGACATCCTTGGAACTTGTCTCAGAATGTGGGCAGTACTATATTGAGTGGGGAGCAAAATAACAGGATTTACTCTGTGACCTTGGCCAACTTACTCGTCTTCCATTTCCTCATCTGTAGTAATTCCTCCTTTACTCATCTTTCGGGCTGGTATCAGATTCTGTTTGAGGCAGTATGTATGAAATTGCTTTGTAACCTGGAAAGTGACAACTGTACATTAAGACAATAATATCTGTGGATAGGTAAGAAGGCAGAGAGAAAAGAAAGCTTTCTGGAATAGGAAGAAAGGAGTTCCAAGATCTGTAGGCTCATCCAGCCTGGTCTCTGAGCCGATGCAAGACCGGGCTTGCAATGCATGCACAGCCTTCCCTGCTATTGAGGGGGAGCCGGAAAGAGCTCCATGCCCAGTGTCCAGTGATCCTGGCAAGAATGAATCTGCCTTTGGGTGTCCACAGAAGAGGGAGCTGCAGCCTAGTCTTCCTATCACAGGCAACCACATACGGTCCATCTGTCAGACTGTTCTCTGCTATGATTTCTGATTCCAATTCCCTCTCCAGCTCCCTTTGGGACTAGGGCCCATCCCTAAGCTCTGATCCAATTGGCTGGGGCCCTGTTCCTTCCAGTCTCTTCCCCAGGACAGATGGACATGTTGGATAAACATGTTGGATATACATAGAGCACCCAAATTCTCAGAAATCCTACCCTCAATTCTACCTGCTCAACTCAAATAGAATCCCCCATGGACCAGCTCAGTCTGGATCACACTCAGCACCACTCCCCAAGCTTAGTGGTTTGAACCATGGGTTCTACTCCTGGGGGAGGAGGAGTCTTCTGTCATTCCCTCCATCCCAGCTATTTCCCCCTTTACCCCTAGATCAACATCAGCTGCAACAGTCTCCCTCCTCCCCACTGGGAGCCCACAGTACATAATAATGACAGTTTTTAATATCTTTCTCTAAAAATTTTGGCAAGATAAAAGGCTCAAAAGAAATAAGGAGCATGTACTTCTAAAGTTTTCATCCTTCAAAGGAAGAATCAAAGATAATTAAAATATTAGTGAAGGAAGCACAGGGAGATAAGAGTTATATTTGCATATTCTTTAAATTATAAATTCGTGTGCTGCTCTTTTAAAAAAAATTTTTTTTTACTTAAACAATTTAGGTAATTGAAGTGATGAAGTTTGTATAACCCTGATTGCCTGTGAAATAAATACATCTTGTAGGTCCTGGACACACCACTGATGATTTTATATTGTATAAACTTTGCCGATGTTCCAGGCAATCCTCAAACAAGGGGAAAAAAGGCATTAAGCTATCAGGCCAATCAGAATGAGGTTGCTTTTGTTACTCATCTAACAGTTTGCAAATATGACATGAGATGATTGTTCTTCTGCTGGGCCAGGCAGGAATGGACTACGGGCAGCTGAGTGAGGGTGGAGTGTCCCCCAAAGTGTTGTCCCTGGAGCAGAGGCTAGTGTTCCTAGAGCTTTCATCTTGAGACCCCTGGTGCCAAACCAGGCTGATTGTAAACCAAGTTGGTGAGAAGTGGCTTTAGGGGCTTGGGTTGGTGGGAGACGAAATGGGAAGACAGAGGTTGGAGCAGAGACAGGAAATTGTCTACTTGGGAGAGGGGCTGGAGCAGCTTTTGATAAAGCCTCTGTAGCCTTGGGATGGCCAAGGAGGGAGCCATTTAGGCGTCTGGTGGGTCTGGACGCTCCTCTTCCTCCAGGAGCCTGTGGGAGAATGGTAGGTCCCCAGGGGTAGAGAAAGACTGGAGACATTTGTGGTTTTGATGCTAGTTCACCTGCTGCTTAGCAGCTGGTCAGAAAGCAGATAGATGACTTTCTCCTGAAGTCACTACTCAATCTACTCACCTCTAAAATTCACCAATCTTGCAGCACCAAGGATGGTCATAGCCTCAAACTTGGAATACCTAAGCATGTGGAACAGGAATTCGCACTTTGTTTTGCTTAGTGGGAAGTCTCTACTTCTTTGATCTTGACTATCAGGTAATGTGGTTGGTCATTTAGGTCAAGTCTGGTAAACAAAGCAGGCAAATACAATTTGGGACCCAAAATCGCAGTGTGAGCATATGGGGTCTCTGACTAAGGAGGCTCCCAGGGGCTTTGCTGGAACTGGCTGGTTATTAACCTGGACAGCAGAAAGTGTATTTCAGCAGAGGGCAAAGGTAACAAATGAGAGAAGAAGAGGAAGGACCCTCATGAGGGTCAAAAGCTAGAATTGCCAACTATTGTGCTCATGGTTACTCTTCTACTTAAAATCCTTCTTTGGCTTCCCCTTGTCAAACGGTGAACTCCAATCACCATTGTCCATTAGGGTGACATACAGGACCTGGCTTGGCCCTATCTCTTGACATGACCTCCAGACATTCAACTTCGGGCATCCAGATTCCTAGCAACTTGGTTGATCTAGCAACTATTTGACCATGTGTCAGCTTTCCTCGCCCTGGAATAATTCCTGCCCTTTCTATGCCTGGGAATTGCCTCTTCATCCTTAAGAATCAGCCCCCCCACCCCCAGCAACCTGCCTCCACCCACTGACCATTCCCTTCTTGGGCCATGACAGTAGCCTCTGCACCGCTTTATTAGACTCACTGATTTTGTGAGTCCGTAAATCCCTACAGGCAGATGGAGGTGACCGTGTCTTATCACCCTCTATTCCTCCAGTGCCCAGCATGGTGCATGACACATGCTAGTTACCTCACCAATGATTGTTGAATCAAATTGAATTGAAATTGAGTATGACTCTGAAATAACAAGCCATTTTCTTTTTCTCATTCAACTCACAAACAGTGTGAGAAGAAAAATGAAGTCATATGTGCATATCATCTCCAAATAAATTACTTTAAAGAACAACTTCTATGTGAATTTTGGATTTGCAAATTCTGTCAAAGTGCACGTGAAGGTAAAGGTCTCCTTAGTTTACAGTCACACTTTAGAGCCAGGATAACATTCAGTTAACTTTATTCATTAGTGGTTGTAAGAGAAGTGGGTGTTCTGATTAATCAAATAAAGAACCATCATAAAAGAAAACAGGACACCTGGATCCTGGGTCCTGGCTTTTCCACTTACCACTTTCTATTGACTCTGGGCAAGTCACTTCACCTTAATTCCTTCAGCTTCAGAATATGGATTATAAAGTTTTCTTGTTTAAGGTATTGGATAAGGGCACCTGGGTGGCTTAGTTGGTTAAGCATCTGCCTTCGGCTCAGGTCATGATCCCAGGGTGCTGGTATTGAGCCCCACGTTGGGCTCCCTGCTCAGCAAGGAGTCTGATTCTCCCCCACCCCCTCTGCTGCTCCTCCTGCTTGTGCTCTCTCTCTCTCAAATAAATAAAATCTTTTTAAAAAATAAAATACTGGATAACCTGTGAATTGATCTGCCAATATAAGGGATCATTAGGTGTACCTGACCAATTCCCCAGGAATAAACTTCAAATGTATTTAACACCAGAAAGTGTTAAGCAAAACTCACATCTTTCTTTGATGATTTAGAAGGCATTTCAGTAAGTGCTTTGGGCGCATCATTATAAACATCATTTACCCTTACACCATAACTTTGTGCAAATACCAGTTAATAGGAAGTCCCATTTGATAGAATGGTATATAAGCCAACCTTTGAATAATATTGTGGTTTGTGTTGTTTTTTTAATGGACACACCATGAAACAGTCTAATGAGGTTACCGCCAAAACAGCTTTGGGTTTTCGTGAGTTAAATGCATAGTTAGGGCTGGAAAGGACTGTTTCAGCTCTGTCAGCTTAATCACGGTTTGCTGGTCCCGAGTGGGTTTGGAGGGATGGTGTCACGCATTACGATGTGTGGTCAGTGACTCACACCCAAATCACTGTTTTCAGGCAGGATAATCAAACATTTGGGCAATAAGCCTCGTAAAGTTCTCATTTATAGGGAGGTTAAGCAGCCTTCGGGGATTAGTCTCATCCAAAGAGGGTTTTGAAGACCTTCACTGACTGCAAGTCTGACTATTCCTATTTACCACAGTGACACAGTAACTGCGTTCTAGGGAAAACAACCGTCTTCCTCCAGACTTGCTAGACGCCATATATTGTGGTGAACATCCCTTCATAAAGAAGAAATGCAGAGGCCCAGGCCCCACCCCAGATCGACTGAGTCAGAGCCTGCACTTTAACAGGATCCCCGGGGAATGAGATGCACAGGAAACCAAGCCCTGGTTTTTTTGTTTTTGTTTTTGTTTTTGTTTTTAGGGCCCTTGCAACCTCAACTCCTCCTTTCCTTTGTTCTCCTTCTCCCTTTCATCTTTCATCACTTCTTCCTCAAATTCCAAAACCAGGTCATGTGTGAAAATCAATACCTACTTGTCTCAACCTGGTCTAATTCAAACACTCAACCATATCTCTACTTGAGGTCCTAACTCCAAGCACAAACCAGCCTTGATTCATAAACACTTGAATAAAATAGTTCCATTGGGCCCCAGAAAAACAGCAGGCAAGAGCCGTCCCCCACAAGATCTGTATTTGTGTCATTTATTTATAAAGAGCCTTAAGTGTACACAATGCTTTGTTGGGGAACATGCCAACAGGCTACAATCCCTGCCCTTTAAAAAATATTTTTTCTTTTTCCCTTATGCCCCAGGGAACAGCTAGGGTGGGGATGGAGTTATGAAATCTTCGGACCAAAACATAGGAGATGAATAGAAGGAAGCCATAAGTATTTGTTAGGGCCTCCAGACCTCTCTAAGAAAACAAATAAGACTTTCCCAAACAATATGCATGAGCAGATTTTTGCTGTGCAAGGAAACCAGCCCTCAGTTCTCTGAAGAAATCTCAGCCCCCGCCCCCCCCCCACACACATCCCACAGGAGATCTTACAAGCATTTGAGCCAAAGATATCCATTTAAAAAAATAAATTTATAAAAGGAAATTTAAAAAGGAAAAATATTTAATGGCACTTATAAAAAACAGTTAAATAAAAGAAGAAACAACCACTTGATAAAATATTATGTAGCCACTCAAATCAGGATTTCAATAATATTTAGCACA